ATTTTTTTAGGAGAAGGCGGAAGAAGTCTATAATCTCTACCAGAATTCCACACTTTCATCCCATCCTGTTGTTGGTCTGGCTGAGCTGCGTTCCCTATGCACCAGCACCTGTCCAGATGAACGAACATTTTGTCTGGTGCTGCTCCAATTGCAGAAGGAGAAAAGAGTCACTGTCCTGGAACAGAATGGTAATAAGGTATGGCTTGCAACTGGCTGCTTCAGGCAGTATCCTATCTCTATAAAAAAAAAACCACTTCTAATAAATTGAATAAATACATTCCACATTTGCAAAGAAAACTGCAGGGATTAGTCTAGATCAGCGGTTCTCAACCTATGGGTCGCGACCCCATTTGGGGTCGATCGACCATTTCACGGGGGTCGCCAAGCAAGGCTGTCCGCCATTTTTTTCCCCTTTTCCGGCAGGTGCCTTACCTCCCTTGAGCTGGGCCAGCTGGTGGTCGGCCTGCTCCGTCTCTGCTGCTTGCCAGCTACGCCTCGGCCGGCGCAGGGGGCGGAACCACGCATGCGCGGCGCTCCCGGGCAGGGAAAGTCCTCGACTTACGACCAGTTGGGTTATCCTCGACTTACGACCGGTTTAGTTCTCGACTTACGACCGGTTGGGGGTCGCGGCATTAAAAAGGTTGAGAACCACTGATCTAGATAGTCATCGGGAGCCGAGGCTAACTCAACACACTCACCCACTTGTACAAATCCATAGAGGGAAGCAAAATAATATTGAAATCTTGGGTAAAACTAACCGTGTGAGCAATTCATTTCTAAAAGATAAATTAGGAACAATAAAGGTAAAGGTTTCCCCTGTCCAGTCGTGTCCAACTTTCAGGGGCAGTGTTCATCTCTGTCTCTTAGCTGAGGGCACCAAGGGCACTTCCGTGGTCATATGGCTGGCGTGACTATGTGCTGAGGCCTATGGAATGCTGTTATTTTCCCACCAAAGTGGTACCTATTTATCTACTTGCATGTGCATGCTTTCAAACTGCTAGGTTGCCAGGAGCTGGGGCAAGTAACGGGAGCTTACACTGTTGCGCAGCACTCAAATCGCGAATCTGGGCTATCAGCTTTCCAGCTGAGAAGCTCGGCGTCTTTAACCCTTGAGCCATCGCATCCCCTTAGGAACAATAATACATCCTACTCGCATTATTAAAAGACTAATTCTTGATGACACCACGAGTCTCATAGTTTAATATCAAATAACAACATTGTCTTTCAGATAATGAAATTCGCCCGAGGGCTTCACGCAAAAGTCTCCCCAATGAATGATGTAGACATTGGGGTTTATCAGTTGATGCAGAGTGAGCAGCTCTTGTCACAGAAAGTGGAATCTCTGGCGCAGGAAGCAGAGAGGTAATGTGGGGTGTGTGTCGTTCATCTTTGTAAAAGCAGGGGGGAAAAAATCTGATCCTGATAGAGGGCAAAATTACGGTAGTTCTCAGGGCTTATTAAAGCAGTTTAATTGATAATTAAATAATACACACACTCACACCAAGAAAATAAGAATTGTATTTGTAATTGTCTTAGCTGTAGTGTAGCGGCCCCCAAACGTTTGGGCACCAGAGACCGGTTCCGTGGAGAGAGATTTTTTCCGCAGACCGGAGGGGGCGTGGTTTCGCGTGCCGCCTGCATCCCGCGGATGGGACTTCGCTTGTTTGCATGGATCGGTTTCTGGCATTCCGTGGCCTGGTGTCGGTCCACGGACCAGGGTGGGGGACCCCTCCTATAGTGAGCTGGGCGAAAGGTACAGAGAGAACAATGGGATTGTAGCTCTTCCTGATCCAAAATATGGACAAGCATCTCTCTTGCTTTTTCAGATGTAAAGAGGAGGCTCGGAGGGCCTGTAAAGCTGGGAAGAAGCAACTGGTAGGTACTGGTGGAAGTCAGGTACATGGTGTCCCTATTGGTATGTTCATCTCCAAACTGCCCTGTTGCAGATTTCCCAAAAATTGTGGTCATGACTCTTAAGACAATGGGTGAGTTCGGGTGTTATTATACAGATGTACACAGATCTTTTGTCAGGCTTGCCTGGTAGACCCGATGGAAATACGGTTACATAAACTAACTCTACTTTACTTCAAAGCTACATTAAAGAATCTGGCAAATGTGAAGTTGCATTTCTCTCACTGTCAACGTTTACAGCCCCATAATTTAGGGAGGGTCCCTCCTGGGCCTCTTGTCCTGCCTGCTGTGAAGCTGTGGACTATGCTGTCTCTTATCTGACTAACCCGGCACCACTTTGCCCAGTCTCAATTTCCTGGTGTTTTTTTTTTCTTTTCTAGCTTTTGAATAAAGTCTGCTTTTTCTGTTCTTAGGCCCTGAGATCTTTGAAGTCCAGAAAAAGAGTGGAAAGGCGCATTTCAGAGCTTCATTCCAAGCTGGACGTGGTACAAGGCATCCTAGATCGCATCTATGCCTCTCAGACAGATCAAATGGTATTTGTTTGTTGCCTGGCATTTATTTTTTTGGCGTTGTATACTTGCGTATTTTTTTTTCTTTCAGGAGCAGTGTTAACCATTCCACTAAGGGTCTCACTTTGACTGTCCCAAACAAGGAATAACTCTCTTCTCTTCCTCTCCTTTTACAATATATGTATTAGATTGTGCACCTCAGCAGGCTAATGAATCCACATTTGCTTGTTGTATGGCACAGTGCTGTGCTGTGAGTTATATACTGTTTAATCTTGAGCTTAAACCACCTTGGAATTGCTGTAAAGGAAGCTCTAAAATCTGCAGTCGTCTGGTCAAGATGCTATAGAAAAATAAGTTTGTTTTCTCTCTTGCCCAAAAGGTATTTAATGCTTATCAGGCTGGACTAGGAGCTCTGAAGTTGTCTATGAAAGATGTGACTGTGGAAAAGGCAGAGAGCCTAGTGGATCAGATTCAAGAGGTACGTAAGAAGCAGGTACTGCTCACACACGGGAGACATACATGGGTAGACTAAAAACATCATATAGTAACATAGAAAACTGACAGCAGAAAAAGTCCTAGCGGTCCATCAAGTCTGCCCTTTGCAGTTTTTTTTTAAATTTATTTATATATTTATTTAATTAATTTTTGTCGTAGGATGGACATTTGTTTATCTCAAGTATGTTTAAACTCAGCTGCTGATGACTGATCCACTACCTCTGCTGGAAGTTGGTTCCCAGCTTCCACTGCTCTTCAAATCAACCTTTATTGTCAAAGTACAACATGTGTACAATGAGATTGGCTGAGCCTCCCTTCGGTCACCCCCCCCCAACACAACTCACAGTGACAACAAACACACAATCTTATTGCACCGTGTGAACTTAATTCGGTGAAGAAACACTTTCTAGCATGACTTTTGAACTTCCCTCCTGTCAGTTTGAGGTTATGGCCCTGTGTTCTTGAAGTTTGCTTAATATTGAAAAATGCTGCCTTCTAGAACCTTATCCACACTCTTTATATGTGTAAAGATTTCATCATGTTCCCCTCCCCTTTCCCTTCTGTCCTCCAGGCTGTACATTAATTGCATATCTGTAATTAAAATTTCCGCTTCTCCCACAGCTCTGCGATACCCAGGATGAAGTGGCTCAGACGTTAGCAGGCGTGGCAATCAACGGCTCAGGTGAGTCAAAGCTTGTTTCCTGCACTCTTCTGATTCCTCTTTCTCCTCAACAGCCACACATGGGAAATATTGTTTTCCTAAAGTTACAATTGTTTTCAAACTTAGCAACTTTTAAGTCTTAAAGTTGCACATTTGCAAAACCTTGCTCTACAGCATTTAAAACAGATTTGTTCAAGACAGGAATTGAGTCTCCCAGTAACAGATATTTTTATAGCTTCCACTGTAGATCAGGGGTCTGCAACCTTGACAACTTTAAGACTTGTGGACTTCAGCTCCCAGAATTCCTCAGCCAGCATAAGTCCACTATTTATTTATTTATTTATTAAATTTATATACCGCCCTATCTCCCTAGTCTTAAAGTTGTCAAGGTTGCAGACCCCTGCTGTAGGTTATAGGCATATATCCTGTTTTCCAGTTGTAATGCATAAGAACTATCAAACATTGACTAAAAATGCCTGGTCAGTTACATATTTTCCTCTTACCTAATAATTATGTCCTTTACTCTCAGGATGACATATTATTCTCCTGCTCTCTGGAGATTCCTTTTCAATAGTATTTATAAATGTCCACATGTGGTGTGGATTAAATTAAAATAATGGGTAAAATTCTTAACCTTGTTTTCAGAATAGGCATTAAGGGACAGTTAATTATTTGATAAGTAATTTCTTTTGCCAAATGGATCTACCCCATTATTTGAGAATGTATAGGCCTATTTTACCTCTTGTGTGCCTGCAGCGTTAATGTCTATCTCATTCCCCAGATGAGTTAAAAGTAGATGGATTTATGGTTGTGAAGTATTTATCTAGGATATTTATTCTGACTTTCAGGCTGTCTGTAACCTTTAGCCTGATTTCTAAAAGCTTCGGTAAACAACCAGTTCAGACTTCTAACCAGAATAAACTTCCCTTTTCCTGAAAAGTCTGTTGGATAGGAAAGTCTGTGGGTAGAATAAGTAGGAACAAACCAACCCCCGGCTGGCAGAGTCCCACTTAACTGCTTCCACACAGAATCCAGCAGTTTATCCGTAAGGGAATACCATTTTTATTAGAAAAATATTGTTCAGCTTAAATAATGTTATATTTGCTTCAGTGATTGTGATTCCTCTATTTCCTGTGTTTGTTCATGACCTAATTGGTGTTCGTAATTGCTTCTGCACATGCATTAATTGTCTTTAAGAATAATAGTTGAAAAATGCTTCTATTGAATATGAATTACATACCTGAGGATTTTTTTTTGCCTTGGATGAGTTTAGATTATGTGGTCAGATACGGGCTTGATCACCTTTGCATGAGGAAACCACATAAGACAATTTTGAGTGAGACTTTGTACTAGATCTGAATGCATATTGCTGATTAGATCGGTGTTTCTTAGATTTCCCCCCCCCCCCAACTATGTGGAAGCTTAAAAATAACAACAAGCAAGGTTTGCATTAACAAAAGTTGTACACCTGTAAAAGAATGAGAACACTTGTTTCAAGCTCTTACTGTCATGCAGAACTTAAGGTTGTATCTCAGTGGTGGTGAACCTATGGCACGGGTGCCAGAGGCGGCATTCAATCAATCAGTCAATTTCAACTTCTCGTGGGGGAAAAAATAATATCTTGCAAAGTTGGAATTGATTGATTGAACTTTTTAGCCCCACCCAGTCTGGTGTTACCACCGCAGCCACGCCCACCCAATGGGCCACACCCACCCGGCACCCGACGATACATAAGTGGGTTTTGGGTTGCAGTTTGGGCACTCGGTCTCTAAAAGGTTCGCCATCCCTGTTGTATCTTGTTCACTTTGGTCCTCCGAAACTCAGCTTGCTTGTTGAGTTTACCTCTTTTTACATTTTTTTCAATCCTATGTACAGTTGCTTGGGAGTATGCTCCATCGAACTGTGTCATGTTGTACTGTGAATAAATGCATATCAGACTGAGATCAATTTATTTGTTATTTTAACTTAGAAGCCGATACAGAGGAACTTGAAAAAGAATTGGACAGTCTTCTCACGGACTCCTCAAAATATCTGTTGGACCTGCCTTCGGTGCCACCGAAGCCGCTCTCTCCAGCTCCGGTAGTCCTTCCCAGCTGCACGGATGCTGACCTTGAAGCAGAGCTGGAGAAACTCACTTGCTCAGATGGAGGTAAGCTGCATCTTGTACATTTCCCTCGTCTACCGTTGCCTGCAGGTAGTCCTCAACTTACAACCGCAACCGGGGCCAGAATTTCCATCCCTGAGGGAGGCAGTTGTTACGTGACTTATGCCCAATTTTTACCAGCTTTTTTTTTTATTGTTGTTAAGCAAATCATCATGATTGCTAACTGAATCACACAGTTAAGCGAATTGACTTTGCTTGTGGAAAGCTGTCTAGGAAAGTTGCCGGTGGCAATCACGTGACCACCGCAGCCATTGTAAGAACATGCCAGTCGCCTGAATTTTGATCATGTGACTTGGGGGATGCGGCTGTGGTCGTAAGTGTGAGGACCAGTGGCAACTCACTGGTTTTTCATTGCCATCGTAACTTTTGAACAGTTGCTAAACAAATGGTTGTAAGTCAAGGACTACCTGTACTTCTGTAGCAAACCTCTGTCTTCAGCAGCTTCTATAATATTACTCAATTTGTTAAAAGCTTTTTCTCACAGATCTGAAGGTTTTTGGGCTAATGACACCATTATTTGGGTAGATCAATGTTTCTCAACCTTAGCAACTTTAAGATGTCTGGACTTCGATTCCCAGAATTCCCTAGCCAGCATGTCCACATGTCTTAATGTTGCTAAGGCTAAGAAACAATGGGGTAGATATCTGCTGGGGCAAAAATCTTTTAAACAAGTTTTCTACTGCTATTGAGGATTAAATGCACTTGACCCTAAACTGGTTTGGTGTCCTCTGTGTTTAGCTGTTCTTACCAATTTTTCTAGTTTCTTTGCCACAAGCCATTGGACTATCTCTCTGAGCATAAATAGTCTGATCACTGCAAAAGGCTTCTTAAATTTTAACACTTCACAGAGATGTGAAAATAAATAATGGCACACCACAGGATTTTATTGTTTCTTAGATGATGGTGCAAGGAAGTTTTATCCGTAGACTTTTATGGAAAATGTACATACAAAAGAAGCCTCTGAATAGCTCTGCCATTTGCCCTTAAAAGATTCCTTTAACAAATCCAGCAATCTTGCAAATGACTGATGTTTATTTTTACAGGTCAGTAAAAATAATATGTAATCCAATTTTTAATAGATGCTGGAGGCTCTAGTAGCAAAGAAATGTATCAGATGACACGTATTTGTTTCTGTTCAGTTTGCAAGCGTGCTTGACCACATTTCTCTTCCTCTTTTCTTTTTTGGGTGTGTACGTGTGCGTTCAATTACAGAATTGGCACAAAAGACTGATCGGAAGGCCCCTGACCGCCAAAGAGCTCTGGAGCTGCCTCTTTAATGACTCAACGTCCCCTTTTGTGCTGTGAAGCTGTCTTAACTTTGCTGATCATAATTCCGAAAGTAACTTGTTGGAACATGGCTTAAAAGCTCGTTAGACTGCACTTTTCAAAACAGGCAGGAAAATTCTGCCACGACAATCCAAATCCTTTCCACAGAAAATTGCTCTGTTGTCATTTTTTTCCCCAGTGGTGCCAAATTACAGTGTCTCTTTGGTTGATTTGCTCACCCACATGGCCACTCACGGCTGCGTTTTCTCTGGCACGTTGACATCTTGCTGATCCTGACCTTGTTCGACATCCTGAGGGCTGCTTTGCCACTTCATGGAACTCCACCTTGTGACCACTTGAAAGGCAATAAAGTCACACGCTGTCTGGCATCCTGCTGTTTTGTGCAGTTGGGCAAAACATTAACTGGATGCACTAGATAAGATGCTGACTTTGATAGCAGTGAGCGGTGTTTGGCCGCAAGTAGACATATATATTAATGATTTTGCTATATTTCTTCTTCGTATTTGCACGGTTGTGGAGAACTTAGGTCAAGGTTTTATAGGGGTGTGGTTTTGTTTTGTTTTGTTACACAAGTAGGAAGCATCTGTCGACACAAAATTCACCTTATACATGTCTTTTACGTCAAAACTGACATTGCCTTAAAGAATTTGCAAAGCTTTTCAACACGAGGCTGTTATTTTTGTTTTTGCTGCTTGAAGA